TCCTCAGTGTGCACCTTTTGTGAAATCTACTCATCCATCCTTGGTAGGCTGTGGCCGTGACTGATGCACTCTGCACCTCAAAAGGACAGCGTGTTCGGACAACCCACTCTGAAAGTCCTCACTGCCACATCAGTGACTGGATGTAGCACAGTGCATCTGTAGGCAATCTAACACTAAATTCACCTTAAATTTTTTTAACTTCACTTGAAGATTAATTTGAAAACTTAAATGGTGTAATAGCCTGAGGATGCTTTTACTTTTTATCATAACTAATATTATTTTACTTTGGAAGCTGTTGGGTAGGAAAGGCCAACTTCACCCTGCAAGGAAATAAGGATTCTTTGCCACTTCTAGAGACTCTGTAAATTGAGACAAGCAAGGAAATCAAAACACAAGTTCTATTTCCAGTTCAAGGGTCATATTCTTTACTGTGAAGTGTCAAATCCAGGATTAGACATACAAGAATTCTTACATGGTCTGGATATTCATCTCTAAAAATTCACTGCTTTAAAAAAACATTTTTAAAAAAACATTTACTCAAGGAGCGCCTGGGTGACTCAGTTGGTTAAGTGTCCATCCAACTCTAGGTTTCGGCTCAGGTCATGATCTCAGTGTTGTGAGATCGAGTCCTGCATTGGGCCCCATACTCGGCATAGAGTTTGCTTGAGATTCTCCCCTTCCCTTTCACCCAGCCCCTCCCCTCTCTCTCTGAAATAAATAAAATCTTAAAAAAATTTTTGCTCAAGACAGTACATACTAGGGGTGCCTGGGTGGCTCAGATGGTTATGCAGCTGCCTTCGGCTCAGGTCATGATCCCAGGGTCCTGGAATCGAGTCCCGCATTGGGTTCCCTGCTCGGCCGGAAGCTTGCTTCTTTCTCTCCCACTTCCCCTGCTTGTATTCCCTCTCTCGGTTTGTCTCTCTTTGTCAAATAAATAAAATCTTGGGAAAAAAAATGACAGTACATACTAAATATGTACCCCAGTCATAGCTTCTTGGGCTTTTGTAGTCATTAAACCAATCACAGAAATATATGAAAAAGTGACTAAAAATCACAGACATATATGAAAAAGTGATAAAAAAAAGCAAATTCAGAATTTTAATTTGCTGAGGTACATAAAACATGGAAAACTGATTTTGCAGGGACCTAAAAAAGACATCTGAGGTCAACTTGTCATCATGGCTCAGAACTCAAATCATTCTCCAAACTCAAGAGATACATCACACAAATCTTTAATTTCTAGAGTATACATTGTTTCCTTTAGATTTAAGAAAGATCACAAATGCAAAACACTGAAGCTCTTTTTATCTAATGCCAAACCTATAAATTGTTAACATTATTTATTAAGAATTCACAGTAATTGTCTTGCAGTTTGCAGATGCCAAGAAGTCATGGCAACAAAATTATAGAATAGTGTTACATAGATTAAAAAAAGTAAAATGCTTTGAAAAAAATTATTATAGAATAAGTTACATTTTTAAATCAGAATGACTGACAAGTTTACATGGAACATCTGGGCTGCCGTTTAGAACTACTTGACCTTTAAAACTTCCAGCTAGCTAAAGCAGGGGAAAAACAGCAAAGGCAAGGCAAAAACATGGGACTAGTTCTGAGATGTGGGTACTCACTCTTCTCTGGGCCTCAGAATTCTCATTAATGAAGTTGAACAGATCATCTTAAAAAAAAAAAAAAAACCCAAAACTCAAGGTCCCTTCATGAACAACTTAGCAGACGCCATTTTGTAAGAGGGCATAATCCCCTTTGAGAATCACTCCTGGAATCACAACTAGGCTTTTTTCCTGTCCTGTCTCATCACCTGACACACTCCTGAAACCAGAAAGCATCTTGCTCATCAGACAACAGCAGAACTATAAAAATATTTAGAAGCATTTAGGAGGTTCTTTTAATGCTTAATAATTACATGAAACATGACAAAGACAGACACAAAAGCTGTTAACAAGTCAAAGGAACCTTTTTAATCTCTTTTGTGATGTGAAAGGTAGAAAATCTTTTGCTTTTTGTTAAACCTTTAGGTTGAACATTTCCCTCCACAAAAGGTACATCACATTTTATCCGTAAGTACTTTAGATGTTAGGATTCATAGATTTCCCGCAATTTGCGGGCACTTGAGTGTTGATATCTTGTGCTAAACTCAGGTTCTCAGGTGAAAGGTAACAACATTGTAGAGGTGTCCTTAGTGCCGCTCCTGAATTGAAGATACTCTCTCCTCCAGCTTTGCATTTTACACTGTATGTTTAACAACTGGCTTCTGTATTTTCTGTGAAGGGTGTAATAACTTCCACAAGATGGCTAAAGTTCATCTTCCGTTACTAAAATTTATGGCTTTTACTTTAGTAAACAATTTGTGATGTTTTCTTACTAACCTCAAAGATGAAAGACTATATAATACAGCAATTAGTGTTATGCTGGTAATAATGCCTAAAAAATAGTTCCATTCTCTACCTATAGTGTACTGCCAAATAAATGTTTGACTAAAAAAATGTTTAAACAAGGCCTAATAGCCATCTATACTTCGATGAAGGCATACAAGATATGGCAGTTTAAGGCTGGCTTAGCTAATATCGATCATCTGGCTCTTCAGTTCTACCCCTGCAGACAGACTGATCAAAAACCGATGATCCTAGACTGTATTAAGATGTGCCTTCACTAAAGATTTACCATTCTGACTTCTCTCTGCATTCTGCATCTTATTTAAATTCTGAGGAAATGTTGTTCTATACACAGATCCTCTTTCTTTAGTTGAAGAGAAAACTGGCCTCTGCTGTTTGGGTTCTCTACTGTGAAAAACAAAAACGATTTCATTTGTTTTAGCAGCCAGAAAGTTTAGAACCAAAATTGTTGTCCAAGCTCTACTTGCTAAGTGGGGTTGCCTGAAGCTATGTAGTTCAGTGCTGTTTTGTTAAATGTCTTATTTTTTATTTTTTTTAAAGATTTTATTTATTTATTTGAGTGAGAAAGAGCACATGAGAGGGGGGAGGGTGAGAGGGGGGAGGGTCAGAGGGAGAAGCAGACTCCCCGCTGAGCAGGGAGCCTGATGCGGGACTCGATCCTGGGACTCCAGGATCATGACCTGAGCCGAAGGCAGTTGCTTAACCAACTGAGCCACCCAGGTGCCCTAAATGTCTTCTTTAAAGGCTCTATTTTGTAGGCCTCTTCATGTCCTTTTAAAAGAAAATAGGATACAACTTTCAAAAATATAGTTACAAGTGACTATATTTAATGTAGTTAAGCATATTGTATTAGTTTCTACTATAATGTAGGTGTTAAAGATGGACTTAACAGCTGTTTTTATAATGGATATAATTTTACATAGAAAATTGCTAGTTTTCCTTCATGATCATGAAGAATGAGATCACAGTTGTATTAAATATTTACTATGCTGTTCAAACGTTGGCTGGCTACTAACTACTAGAATGCCTATTCAACATAGCTACTAAAAGAATTTCTATCTAATCTGGCTCTGGCTCATTAGTTCAATGAATACTACATTCATTAAGTCTTTCTACCTTCCCAAATTTTATCTTTAAAAGAGGAAATTAGGCTGACTTTAAAAAATGTTAAATCATGAATATACTATCTATAGGTTTTCCTGTCTCCTGGATATTATATACTTTTAAAAAATAAAAAAATGTGATACAAGAAATATTTTGAAGGGGTATTTTATATGTATCATATTTAAAGGTCCCAGTTTTCACTAATCTGAGAAAACCCATACGTGTGATATCTTAAAAAACCAATGAAATTCAGTGAAACTTTAATTTCTCATTTCATTGAGAATTTGCTACAAAAAATATCAAAATGAGAATTTCTTTCTTTAAAATGGCATGTCTGTGTTAGTTATAATTTGATAAATGGATTCCTTTCCATATATACCTTAAGATCCAAAATCTCAGGGCAATAACATGGTTGAAGAATCATGTAACAATGCATTTAATTTTAATGTAAGATTTGTGGTAGTGATTTAGAACAATAAATAACACAGTGAAAATTTCATCATAAACTAAATGCAATAACAAAAGGAAACAAACGCTTACGTACACATTACCAAGGTCTTTACAGTAAGTTATAACGTTTCGTTCCGTCACAGCGTATTTGTACATAAAGCCACTAATGTGAACACTGAAAGAAATCGCTCATGTAGGTCTTTAATCTTGATTTAATAAAGTTTGTACAGTATCAAATAATATCAAAAGTCTAAAAAAACACAATGAGTTTTTATATCATGTTTATAAATTATTGTTTATATACCATAAAAAAAAATAAGGTCAAAAGTGCAGTTTAAAAAAAAGTGGAAGTTGTTATTCTTGGTAAGAACTAGAAAAATGTATTGTCCCAAGTAAGAAGCAATCTGAGGGCTCTTACAGTTTCTTAGGAATTTTCCTTTAACTCTCATACAACCTTCGCTACCATATGCCATAACATAAACCAATACAAAGGGAGCAAAATCATTATAAAAATAACAGGAAACACAAATCTGGTGATGAGAAACGCTGCAAAGAAACATAATTACCAGCCTCCCCCAAGATGAATGAAACGACTTTGCACACAGGAATGAATGGGCCACCACCGCATGTGACCAAATTTGGGAAATTTGAAAGGGTTTCCAGAAGTTTTAATCTTTTTCAAGTTTTTAGTCATAACTGGGAAGGGTGCGTACATCCGAGGATTATGAAATCTTCTAGTATAAGACAAAATATGACTTAAAGGTGATAAATCATATCATCTACTATTCACAAAAAATAAAGACTAAGCATCCAGTAATTAAAAGGCAGCAATATAGAAATTAGGAAGAAACAGATGGGCGAAACAGAACTCTGGGTCTTCACTGGCACTTAGCACAGTAAGGAGTTATATTTTGACAAATTATAGAACAAATGCCTGTATTGAAATATGTGTGGTTCATTAACCATTTATGTTTATGTAAGAAACGAAAATGGTAAAATCACGGACTTATAAAACAAATTAAATTTAGAGGGAAAAAAAAACAAAAGGAATGTAGAGACAAATCTTATTTTTAAACTTATTGTGGGATCAGAATGTTGACAAGCTGTACCAATCCAGAGCAGTATTCCTGTTGCTAAGCCTAACAGGCAGCCTGAGCCTGGCTCAGCACCACCCCCCCGCTCTTCAAATGCTATTTCGCTGGTACTTTGTGTGTATGACACCAAGCAATAGTGAGTTATTTTGTTCATGGACCGGAGGAGGTCCCTTGGTTGGTTTAACACACTTCACTGTTACAGTAGGTTAGTGGGAATGAAGGTCTTGCTAGTTTTGATAGGAGAAAAGGGCTGGCTGCTGAAGAGTATGGGTGCTCTGTAGCATACATACACACTTAATAATTAATGTCCCCTTAGTAGAAGATTAAAAATCGATGGATATGGATGCTTGTGCAGAATCTTCTCGCCCTCTGACATAAATTTCACAAGGAATCTCCTCCATTACTCTGTCTTCTAGGGCCTGTTCAGGGCACTCATGTGCCTGTTTGAAAGTGTAGCTACTCTTTTTAAAAGTGCTGTTAAATGTTTTCATTGGCTGTGGTTGTGCAAAATCATTTCGGAAAGGCAGTTCCATGGAACTCAGGTTGGTCCTGCTCTGTTTGACACTGGGTGCTTGTGACCCACAGTGATGGTCATGAATGCACCGGGAGGCAGTGGAGGAGTGCCGCATCTTCTGGTAGTTGTCCAGTTCTTCTGACAAGTCGGCTAGGTCTGCAGAAATCTCTTTGTCCCGTAGGGAAAACAGTTCATAATGAGGAGGATCAAACACTTCCTGAAATCCAGTTTTATTAAACGCAGTTTTGCAAGCCATGACCTTTTTTCGAGGCTGTTTCACTTGTACTAAAATAGAAATAATGAGAAGGACCAAGACAATCCCTGATGTGATGCCAATAATTGTTCCATGGGTTTTAGTGACTTGTTCAAATAGTCCTGCTTTTTTCTTTTCTGCAGAAAGAGAGACAACAAGGCTTTCAAAATTCATTAATGAGTCCTGTCACAAACTGGTAAGGTTATTTTTGGGTAAAGCAGAACACATGGGTCAAATACCCTATAGATGATACCATTTAAAATTAGGTTTTTAAACAAAATAATCCCATTATGATTTCTGGTTAAACTAACCAATCACAATATAGTCAGATAGATTACATAAAAGAAAAAGGACTTGGTTCTTTACTCAGAAGGTACATGAAGGCATACAATTTGCAAATCAAATTAAAAACATGAATCTAGGAGCACCTGGGTGGCTCAGTTGGTTAAGCGTCTGCCTTCGGCTCAGGTCATGATCCCAGGGTCCTGGGATCGAGTCCTGCATCGGGCTCCCTGCTCAGTGGGGAGCCTGCTTCTCCCTCTCCCTCTGCCCCTCCCCTCACTCATGTTCTCTCTCTCTCAAATAAATAAAATCTTAAAAAAAACCCATGAATATAGAGAAAATGCCAAAAGAAATACTCTTGTTCTATCAAGTTAGCTTTTTGCTCTGTGGTATGTTTGACCAACTGCCACATTTAAGTATATCCACAGTATTTCCACTGATGGCCATCAGCAAGAGAGGACAAACGTGCTCAGGCTAACCCGCTGAGGTATATCATCACGATCAACCGTTTGAATGATTACCTGAAAATACTTCATGCCAAGTACTTAAGACAGCTGTATCACATCACACTCACTTCTCATAGTAAGATATTTACTGAACTCTTGGAGAACAGAAGGCAGGTAAACGTTAGGACTTCAAAACTTTAAGATTTGATAATGTCTGTAGATATTCAACTATTACCACAAGTCATGTTTACCTTAGACATACACTAGAAATACAGCATAGGAAATTTTATAAAATGAAAAAAAGCAGTTCTTACTAGTCTGCTTTTACTGCTTTTTAAGATTGAATCTGTCAATATTTATTAAATAGTATTTCTATATTTTTAAAATACTACTACTCTAGGTTACTTTCTAAGTTATTCCGAGAATAAGGTATCTTTACAATACAAATGACTAAGAAAATAATGCAGGAAATATTATGGTGGACTTTCGAACAACTTAAGATAAAAAACATAGTTTGTAAGAAAAAAAAGAATGCTTTCATTGAGAATAAGTATTTTTCTTTGCTTTTATCACATATGAGAGTTGTATGATCCATTTAAAAGAACATTTATATTCTATGTTTCCATTTCAGCCAAAGCAGCTATGCTAAACAGGTTACAGAAAAGGACATTTTAAGTCTTTCTTAAGGGCAACGGCCATTTTTCTCTCAAAAAGGTTGGGCTTTGCCAACGCACTCACCTTTACAGTGATTTTCGTCCCAAGGGTATGCACAGTTCTGAACACCGTTACACACTAAAGAACTGTTGATGCACATGTTGCTGTGGCAGAAGAAAGTGCCACCTGTGCAGGGAGCTGCAGGCAAGAAGAACAGTTTGTTGCTAAGAACTCCTCCTGGTTTATTTACACTTCAACTTGTTCTATGAATACACTCTGCACTACAGAAGCAGTAAGATATGGGCCGATACTCTCTGACATGTTCTCAGGTAAAAACTCTTTACTTCTGCTGGGTGCCAAACGTCATGTTTAGTGTAATGAGAATAGGAATACATTTACCATGGTGCTTATGGAACTAGTACATAGCCTGGCAAATTTTTTCAAAATGTTACAAGAAAATATTGGTGAGGATGTGGAGACACTGGAACCCTTGGTGCATTGCTGGGGGGATGTAAAATGGTACAGCGGCTGTGTTAAATAGGATGGAGTCTCCACAAAAATCCACACCAATTACCATCTGCTCCAGCAATTCCACGTCCAGGTGCGTACCCCAAACCACTGAAAGCAGGGACTCAAACAGAGCACACCAATGATCGTGGCAGCTTTATTCACAAAGCACACAGCAGCATTATTCCACCAAAAGGGGGAAACAACCTAAATAAATGTTTGTTGATGGATGAATGGAGAACTGCAATGTGGTATATACATATCTAATGGGATATTATTCAGGGTTAAAATTCAGAAGGAAATTCTGACAAATGCTACAACATGGATGAATCTTGAAGACAATATGCTTGAAAGAAGCCAGACACAAAAGAACAAATATTGTATGATTCTAGGTATATGAGGTACCTGGAGCAGTCAATTCATTGAGAGAAAAAAAGAACATCAGCTACCAGGACCCGGTGGGAGAGGGGAATGGGGTGTTTAATGGGACAGAGTTTCAGCTGGGGATGATAAAAAAGTTCTGGAGATTGGGGTGCCTGGGTGGCTCAATCAGTTAAGCGTCTGCCTTTGGGCTCAAGTCATGATCCCAGGGTCGGGGCTCTCTGCTCGGCGGGGAGCCTGCTTCTCTCTCTCCTTCTGTGATCTCTCTCACTCTTGCTCTCTCTCAAATAAATAAATAAAATCTTAAAAAAAAAAGTTCTGGACATGGATAGTGGTGATGATGAATGTACTTAATGCCACTGAACTATGCACTTAAAAATGGTTAAAATGGCAAATTTTATGTCATGTAGATTTTACCAGAAAAAAATCACTCCTTGGAATTTCAAAATTAAAATTTTTTTAAATGATAAAGATATATGGAATATATACCATGTAACATCATATTTTGTATAAACCATTCTTTCAGTCTGAGATGTCTCCTCCTTTCCCTTCCTGATGACCACCTACTCATCTTTCAAGATCATCCAAAATGCTGCCCTCTCTGTGAAGACTGCCTCAATTCTCCTAGATAGCTAGTGTGACTCCTGTGTTCCTGTCATACTCTGGATGGTGCTTCTATGTGACACTTCTTGTATATGTAAACATTTGCTACACTAGATTATGACTCAGTGTGTTTACTTCTGTTAAGAAATAACATCCTAGATTGGAGACAAAAGTACCAACATAGTAATAATGTATATTTCAGTGTAAAGACACACACACACACACACACACACACACACACAAGAATCTGAAAGTCAAGAAACACGACGGCTTGTCTCTCACACTGACAGAAGCCCCTAAAAATCAACTAATCATTGTGACTTCCAAAAATAGAATCAAGAAAATGTATTTCCTGTCTAAAAAATTCTACATTTAAGATATGTGTCTCAGCATACTGACAGACCTCAAATATTTTTTATATTTTCTTTTTAAGTTTCTTTTCAAGATGAAAAGAAATATGTAAAATTTTACAGGACTAATAATAACTGGATTTTCTCCCCTACACATTATCTTTTTAAAAATTAATATATAATGAACCTTATTGAAACAATTAATTTAGTATTTCTTTTCCTCTTAAGAAGTCTCTCTCTTTAGGTTACAATCATAGGAAGCTTTGGAATACTTAAACACATTGTCCAACTGCATCATCAGTAATAAAACCAACAGTATGGTAAACACAAAACAGTTTGGTATCCACCTGCCTGACCCCCTTTGTGTATTTCTCAATTTGGCTCTGAAGATGGGCTGTAAAAATAGGTATGTATTGGGACCCCAGGAAACCCTAAAACATAATGTGATATTTATCAAATATTTACTAGACTTATAATGTAGGTCAACAGACAACATCCACAACATCACTGATCATCAGGGAAACACAAATCAAAACCACAGTGAAAGAATACCTCACATTTGTCAGAATGGCTATTATCAAAGGGACAAGAAATAAGTGTCAGAGGAGATGTGGAAAAAAGGGACCCTTTGTGCACTGTTGGTGGGAATGCAAACTGGTGCAGCTACTGTTGAAAACAGTATGGAGGATCCTCAAAAAATTAAATATAGAATTACCATATAATTCAGCAATTCCACTCTTGGATATTTATCCGAAGAAAATCAAAACACTAATTCAAAAGATACAGACATCCCTATAGGTTCATTGCAGCATTATTTACAATAGCCAAGATATGGCAGCAACCTCAGTGTCCATAAATGGATGAATGAAGATGTGATACATACATAAAATGGAGTATTACTGAGCCATAAAAAGGAGTGAAATCTTGCCATTTGTGACAACATGGATAGACCTAAAGGGTATTATGTTAAATGAAATAAGTTAGAGAAACACAAATACATATGATTTCACTTACATGTGGATTGTTAAAAGGCAAAACAAATGCACAAACAAAACAGGAATACTCACAGATATGGAGAAAAAAACTGATGGTTGCTATAGGGCAGGGGGCGGTGCGGACACAGGACAAAGTAGGGGAAGGGGACTAAGAGGAACAGTCTTCCGGGTATAAAATACATAAGTCACAGGGATGTAATGTAGAGCATAGGGAATATAGTCGGTAATATTGTTTTTTTTTTTTAAAAAGATTTTATTTATTTATTTGACAGAGAGACAGACACAGCAAGAGAGGGAACGCAAGCAGGGGGAGTGGGAGAGGGAGAAGCAGGCTTCCCGCGGAGCAAGGAGCCCGATGTGGGGCTCGATCCCAGGACCCTGGGACCATGACCCGAGCCGAAGGCAGACGCTTAACAACTGAGCCACCCAGGTGTCCCTATAGTTGGTAATATTGTAAACAACTTTGTATAGAGACAGATGGAACCTAGACTTATTGTGATCATTTTGTAATGTATGTAAATATCAAATCACTGAAACTAATACCATATTGAGTGAATGTCCCCAATTATTCTTCAATTAAAACAAACAAAAAGTAACATCCAAAACTGCTTTGCTATTAGAGAGCAAATATAAACTCTCTTTATGGCAGAATCCCCAAAATGGTAACAGTCACCCAAGTTCCAGTTCAGCAGGCTAATAATCTATGGTTAATTGCTATGAGCTAGGATTTGTGTAACCCTTCTCCTTCTGCACTATAAACTAAATTGAGTTTAAGCATGAGTTTTATCTATATACAATTAAATAATCTTTTTTTCTTTTTTTTAAAGATTTTATTTATTTATTTGACAGAGAGAGAGAGCGAGAGCAGGAACACAAGCAGGGGGAGTGGGAGAGGGAGAAGCAGGCTTCCCGCTGAGCAGGGGGCCTGATGCGGGGCTCAATCCCAGGACCCTGGGATCATGACCTGAGCTGAAGGCAGACGCTTAATGACTGAGCCACCCAGACGCCCCATGATTAAATAATCTGTGCACAAAACTTTTAGGCTTATTTGCTGAGTATTTACCCACTCCTTTTCAAGTATAATAACCCGTAGGTGGCTCTCATGACTCAAGAATCTAAAATAAAATAGCTAAGAACTGTAACTTGGGAAATAGTGCTATGAAACAGAGAGTAGAAATAACAATGGACTAGTAATTAATAAAAATTGTTTCTGTTATTAGTTAACCTGTCTACTTTAAGATTTTAACTAACTCCCTGGGTGTCTGCTTCCTCTTTTTAAAAGAATGGGATGGACTATAGGGTATTTCAGACTTCTGGTTCTAAAATCAATGAGACTGGCTCAGTTGGTTAAGTGTCTACCTTTAGCTCAGTCATGATCCCAGGGTCCTGGGATCGAGCCCGGTGTTGGGCTCTCTGCTTAACGGGAGTTTGCTTTTCCCTCTCCCTCTGTCCCTCCCCACCATTTATGTTTTCTCTCTCTCTCTCAAATAAATAAATTCTTGAAAACAAAACAAAAAAATAAAATAAAATCAACGAGACTATGAAATTAGTGGTCTCAATCATGTTGTTATTACTATTCTCAGAAGAATCATGTATATATCCAGTACGTAATTTACTCAGAGACTGAATCCATCACATGGTATCATTTAACCATTAAGTATTTCATGATTCTTGGGCGTCTGGGTGGCTCAGTTGGTTAAGCAACTGCCTTTGGCTCATGATTCTGGAGTCCCAGGATCGAGTCCCACATCAGGCTCCCTGCTCAGCAGGGAGTCTGCTTCTCCCTCTGACTTTCCTCCCTCTCATGCTCTCTCTCTACCATTCTCTCTCTCTCAATAAATAAATAAAAATCTTAAAAAAAAAGTATGTCATGATTCTTAAGAAATGCTTGATGGTTTCAAAGCTTACCGTAAGGACAAAAGGTATTAGTTACATAAATAAGCCATTAGGTTGAGGACAGAAAAGCCAATGAAAATGTATGGTGTTATTTTATTTCAGTACAAAATTAGCTAGTGTCCCTACCTCAGCTGTGTCATATAGATCGTAAAATTATATTACACCCAGGTGTGCACTTTACCATAACAAATGGCCTAGAGAACACACAGCATTTTTGAATACTTCTAAAAACTGAGTTTTCTGTTTTGTTTCTATGTCATACCACAGTTCTGTTACATACTATATCATATTACCTACTGACCTCTAATTTTACCAGTCTTATCCAGTTCACAAATGAGGAGACAGGGAACAGAAACTATTCAGGAAGGGCTGAGTGAGGTTATAAGCAGCACTGTGGCTTCTAGGTATTCTGATTTTGAGTCAAACTATCATTAGCTCTTAAAGTTTATTCACAGAACATTGTGTG